TTCTTTTCGTTAATTAAACTATATTGGGCTATTGCCATCAAACTTCCTCGCCAGGAGTGAAGACCATAAAGGTCGTAATGGCAATATGGCAGTAACGCATCGAGTAAGATAGCTAGTGATCCAGCTGCATAAATATTAGTTGGTTTCGGACTTGATCGCAGGTCTCCTTGATCAGGAATAGGCGGATGGGTAGTGTGCAATGCAAACGATTCCATAAGCCGTATAGCACTGCTCTATTCTCTCTCTTACCCCTAATTGACAAAAGTTCTCAGAGGTACCCAACGAAGTGTAGTTCTGTCTTTGCCAGGAACCATTGTTCGTTGGTGCATCATGATTTTGACGACCTCGTGTTTGTTGCTCTTGAACCCTGCACATTTGCAGTTCGAAGTCTATCTCTCACCATTCTCTTCCTTTCCCATCAAGGAAAAGACCTATCAAAGACAAAAAGTCCCTTTTAGCTTCCGTTACCGCGTAGCCATTGTTGGCCACATTTTCGTTCTAACTCCAACAGTTTATGAGGTAGTGAGATTCGGTGGTACCAAGCACGTGACTGAATTATTCCAACGTTCTGTCTCTGAGACCATATGATACATCTGTGAGGTCAGCTAATGGCAACGCATGGACGTTCCTGATGCGGTGGCACCACTCGATCTGAAGCAGGTATCGTAATCAATTCTGTTGGCGGCTGTTCAGCCTTCGTTCGCTAGCTGTTGTATTGCATCTGTTTCTAGTTGATGCATCAAGACAGGCTTGACAGCAGCACTGTATCCTGTTGAAGACTGTTGCTCCTTTCTTAACCCAGATTTTCGAGAGGGTTTTGAAGGTAAACGAAGTCAAGATATTCAATTAGTAATCATTATACGTCATACCCTATTCCAACCACACTCAAAAAATTTAATCATTGTCAGTTCACACAAATAAATACACAGAAATTTACCTCTCTACCCACAATTGGGGTTGTATTCAGAATTCCCTTCTTTTGTATACATATGCTTTTAACATAGGAATATATTTGTCATCTGTGATTGTCGTTGGCACCATAGTCATTGAAGTCTATCGAACCATGCCACGTTTTCAACAAGGGTAAACTTTGACGTTAAGTTTTGTAGTGGTCCACCGGACACGGGGGCACTGTAGTTGTAGGTAATTAAAGAAAATCAGGAAGAGGAATTGTAGTGGCAACAT